GTTTCTAGTTATTTGAGAATACTCAATGTGTCTTTGTTATTGATTTCTAATTTAGTTCTGTTGTATTCAAAGAACATACTCTGTATGAGTTGCAGTCATTACGTTTATTAAAACTTATTTTATGGCCAAAGGTTTATTTTGGTAAAGGTCCTACATATACTTGAAAATAATGTATATTATGCAGTTGTTAGATGGAGCTTTCTATGCGTGCCAGTTGGGTGACGGGTTGATTAAGTCTTTTGCATTCATACTTTCTGTGTACTTGTTTTTTCAGCTAATGAGAGAGACTTGTTAAAATTTCTAACTATAATTATGGATCTTTCTATTTTTCCTTTCAGCTTGATTAGTATTGGCGCCTCTGGTTTACTTTTTATATAAACTTCACATGATTCTAATATGCAGTCAGAATTAAGGAAAGTTGTTTTAAACCAATAGTTCTCAAACTTTAACATGCATCAGATTTCTGGGTCCCATTCCCCAGTCTCTTATTCAGTAGGTGAATATGCATTTCTCACATAGTCCCCAGGTAATGTTGAGACTGCTGGTCAGAGGGCACACTTTAAGAATCACTTACTAGGGCCTCCCTGGTGGCACAAGGGGTTAAGCACTGCACTATGAAGCAGTCCACAGCAGGCCAGGGAACAACCCACATGGCGCAGCAGACCTCTCCTGTCTTGCCCGCTGCTCCCCTCGGCAGTGTACTTCGGTCAATCTGCCTGTTCTGTTCCCCACTCTGTCTCTGGTGAATCCTCTCACCCCACTCCCCGCATTTCTGGCCTGTACCCCAGCTCTTGTATGCATAAATACATACTTTTTTTTTTTTAAAGAATCACTTACTGGGCCTCCCTGGTGGCGCAGCGGTTGAGCGCTGGGTTGTGAAGCTGCCCGCAGCCTCTGCAGCGCAAGTTCGATCCCGGCTGCCGGGCAAGGGTCCCACATGGCGCGCACATCTCACCTGGCGCCCTCTGCTCCCCTCAGCAGTGTACTTCATCAGTCTGCCTGTTCTGCTTACCCCTCCAGCTCTGGTGAATTCTCTCACCCTCCCGCACTTCTGACTGTACCTAGTGCTTGTATAAATAAATAAATAAATCTTAAAAAAAAAAAAAAGAATCACTTACTAAGCCAATGTATCTCAATCTTGGCTGCACATTAGAATCACCCAAGAAGCTTTAAAAAATGTGATATGCAGACTACATCAAACCAATTAAATTTAGGATCTAATGGCGAAAAGGGGAGTAGCGGGACCCAGGCAGCCATACCTTTTAAAGCTCCCCTAACTGATCCTAATAAGTAGTCAAGATTGAGAATTTTATACTAGTCTATAGTATAGTGTTCTATACTTAGGTAATTATTCACATTGCTCAAGAAAGTCTTTGGGGCTCATTACCAACATTTCACCTGTGTCCCTGAGGAAAAAACACCATATGGTAAAGGCAAACAACAGGTTGTATGAATGATCTATTGTTCTGGTACAGCAGAGGGGGTGAATTTTGGCTCTGCTGTCAAACTAGCAGTTTCCTTGTGTAAATTGGAGCAAATACTTCCTACCACTTCATAGAATACAGAAAGAGTCTGACAATATAAAACATTCTTTTCTCATTGGGAAAAATTCTATTGATTAAACACCATTTTAAATTATTTATTTATTTTTTTAAAAAGATTTGTTTATTTATTTATACAAGCAGTGGGTACAGTCAGAAGCGCGGGAGGGTGAGAGAATTCACCAGAGCCAGAGCGGGGAGCAGAACAGGCAGAGTGACGAGGTACACTGCTGAGGGGAGCAGCGGGCGGCAGGAGAGGTCTGTGTGCCATGTGGGACCCTCCTCCAGTGGCCGGGGAACAGCCGGGGATCAAACCAGCGCTGCAGAGGCTGCGGGCAGCTTCGCAACCCAGCGCTCAACCGCTGCGCCACCAGGGAGGCCCAAACATCATTTTATTTTATTTTATTTTTATTTTATTTTATTTTTTTAAAGATTTATTTATTTATTTATACAAGCGCTGGGTACAGTCAGAAGCACGGGAGGGTGAGAGAATTCACCAGAGCCAGAGCGGGGAGCAGAGCAGGCAGAGGGACCGAAGTACACTGCTGAGGGGAGCAGTGGGCGGCAGGAGAGGTCTGCGCGCCATGTGGGACCCTCCTCCGGTAGCCGGGGAGCAGCAGGGGATCGAACCGGTGCTGCAGAGGCTGCAGGCAGCTTTGCAACCCAGCACTCAACCGCTGCGCCACCAGGGAGGCCCCCAAACATCATTTTAAATTAAAACAATCTTTAATATATGGATCTTATTTCCCATAATTGGGTTTCTATACAGTTTATTTAAGGGAAAAAAAATACTGACTACAAAGCAACACTTGCATGGAAATCCATGTGTAACAGAAATATATTCCAAAGAATCTTTAACAGCCTTTCTGGTAGTAAAGTCATTAAACAAGAATATTTCAATCTTCCATTAACTTTCACTTTCATTAATCTTCCATTAATTAATTTTCATTAATCTTCCATTTTCTTTCACTTCATCCTGCATGGGCATTTTGACCAAGGAGAACCCATTCTGGCAGAATTACAGCAAACAGTACCAACACTTTGGACTAGGAAAATATCACAGCCCTCTGTTTTTCTTCTCTCTCTCTCTCTCTCTCTCCCTCTCTCTCTCTTTCCCCTCCTTTTTTTAATTTTCGGAATAGTTTATCCACATTACAAATCATGTAGGCTTTATAATAATCAGGTGACATAGGCAGAATAGGTGTTACCGTTCGCAGTTTTTCAATTGTGAAAACCAAAACAGGCAAAGAGAGATTGCCCAAATAACTAGTTTATAACATGGGTTCTTGGGCTCTTGGTTGCAAGTACAAAATTTTCTCCTGATGAAGCAAAGGAAAATTGGGCATAATTATAGATAAGAAAACTAGAGATCTTCAGACACCTTCAGGATCCACCTGGGAGATTCACTAGGTAAAGAGAAACTATGACCAGAAAGGAATATTTAGAGAAGTCATCCAGTCCACTACACCATCTTACAAAAGGGGGGACTGGGTTGCTCTAGGTAGGTAGAATGTATGAAGGAGTCCAGCACTGACAAACAGGAGACCTGAGTTCTGGCCTCATTGTGCCACATAACAGTCATCAACCAGCAGACATTTGCAAGTCCCACAGGCATTTTCAAACTCATGTTCAAAAGTATTTATCTTCCTTCACTCACATCCTCCTCCTATCTCCTTGCTGATCATTTCAAATAACCCAGGGCGGGAGGATCCTTCATCCCCCATGTCCTTTCAGTTACCAAATTCTTCTAGAAATCTTGCAGAGCCATCTCTTCCTCCCCATTTTTTCTGCCACTGTCCCCGTCTTCCAGCCTGGATTAGGTTACTACAGTTTGTCTATCACATCTACTGGTTTCCAGTCTTGCCCAGATCCAATTCTCCTGCCACCACAGAGAACTTTCTAAAATAGAATTTGTCACTGTTTTGCTCGTTTTTCAATTGCTTTCCACCACCAACTGGATGAAGCCTACAATCCCAAGCAGGATGTCACAAACTAGTTGTGATTTGGCCTCTGCCTTCTGTCACTTCACCTTTCACCACTCACAACTTCAGTCAAGTCCAGGTTTTGCAGTTTCTCCAATGTCACATTTGGCTTTGACATAAATGGCACACTCTTCCTGGAAATCCCCTCCTTCCCCTGCCCTTTGCCTGGCTAAAATTAACTCACCCTTCTAGACTCAGTTTAGGTTGGCCATTTTCCTGGCACTCCTTTTATAGCTCTCTTTGGTGCTCCCACAGTATCTTGTGAAAACAACAGTTGACTGTTCACCCTGAACAGTGTTTGCTCATCCATCTGTGTCCTTCACGGAATCTAAACTGTACAATGATAGGGGCAGCTTCCTAATCAGTGTTTGTTCTGAATATTCACCTAACAAATAGTTGAGGACCCACTGCATGCCAAATGTAGGTATGAGGGACACAGCAAGGGACAAAAAGCAAAGAAAGGCACTTCTTGCTATGGAGGCAACATCATAAACAGATAAACAGTGAAGAGAATACGAGAGTGAAGAGTGTCATAAAAATGACAGGGCAATTACTTAGAAAGGGTGGATGCATCAGGACTTCTCCTGTGGGGGAAGTGACATTTAAGGTGGTAAGTGAATGCCAAGGGGCAAAGTATTCAGAGGAAGAACGACAAGTACAAAGGTCAGAAGAACCAAAGGGGGCCCATTTAGCTTCAAGTAAGCATGGGAAAGTGAAAAGAGTCAGAGGAGGAACCACTTCATGTAAACTTTGTAGGCTAAAATCATTTTGACCCTGTTCTACGTGTCATGGGGTGTGACATGCCTTAAATTCTACTTTTATAGGCTCTCTCTAGACTGCTATGCGAACAATGGACAACAGGTAGTGGGCACAGCCTAGTCTGGAGGAGTGAATCATCGGTAGTCTGGATAGGGTGGGCGCAGTGTTGAATGGATCTGGAACGTGTGTGAGAGTGACCGGGTCATGTCGACGAGCAGATAAAATCTGGCTCGGGGCTGGAGAAAGCCAGGGCTGGTCAGCAGGGCACAGTGCCGGCACTCCGGGACTTCTCGGAGGCGGAGGACCTTGAGAGTCCCTTGGCTTCCCAGGCCTCCGGGGAGCGTTCAGGTGTGGCAGCCGGGAACAGACCCGCCCGCCCCCAGCCCCGGGACCCCCCCCCCGGAAACCCCGGAACCCCCCCTCAGCCGCGGGCCCCCCCCCAGCCCGGCCCCGGGCTCCCCACAGCCCCGGGCGCCCGGCGCGCGTCCGCAGAGAGGCCGGCGGCCCGGGCTCCACGTGCCCCGCGCGCGGCTTCCGCGTCCCCGGGCGGGGCCGGAAGGGGAAGTCAGCGCGGCAGCGGCGGCCCCGGCAACAGCAGCGGCCCCGCCGAGCCCCGCCGTCCGCCCCTGTGCCGTGGCCCGCCCGCGGGCACGTCGCCGCGGCGGGATCCGACGCCTCCGGCCCCGCCGAGCCGCGCTGCCCGGCGCGCACCGCTGCGATGGGGCCGCGGCGGCCGCCGTCCCTCGGCGCGGCCGCCCTGCTCTGGGGCTTCCTGCTCCCGCTGGTAAGGGGGGGACGCGCGCCTCGGCCTCCCGGGGCGGGGCCGAGCCTGGGGCCCGGAGCGGGGTTCCCCGACCCTTTCCCTCCCCACCCCCGGCTTCGAGCCCGCCGGTCCTCTGCGGGCGCCAGTGCAGCCTGCGCTCGGGTTTCGCCTTTTTATTATTCCTCTGCGCTCCCCTCCCCAACCCTCCCCATTGCGCTCTTTCCTTCCAGCCTCCTTTTCCTTCCCCACCCGTAGCCTCTCCGCCCTCACCCCGTTCCCGGCCCGGCCGTCCCCGCGGAGCCCCCCCCAGGCAGCTGTCTGCACACCCCCGAGCTGCACTGGCCTTAGTGCTTCTCGGTGGATTTTCGGTATTCAGGGCATTTTTTAATTGACATAAGAGTTTTTTCATCAAGACCCTTTTAAACGTTCTTAGCCTATTTTGCCCCGGGGAAAGGTGTGTGTGGGGGAGATGGACAGTGTGTGTAGTGGAGCAAGGACTGCCCTCGAGTTTCCCCTTTCTCTGTGGTTCGTCCTTCGCAGTAGAGCTCATTTGATTCCTATTTGATTCCAATTTGATTCCAATTGATTCCAATTGATTTCGGTTCTCTGCTTTGTTTAAAGGGGGGGGGGTTTCATTAAATAACAGTAACAAATGTGTTTTCACCAGTTTGTTTCAACAAATACAGAAAACTAATAATGCAATTGGAATTTCATAGGTCGGCAGGACGCCACTGTTCTGTTTCAGTTTTTGTTTCTTACAGTTTTCACTTAGGGAGTTTCGGCTTGAAAACTTTTACAAGCTTCATTGTACAGAATGGGTATGGTGTGTACCTAATTTTTTTTTTTTTACAGCAGAATCACTAACATTCCTGAAGAAGCATATTTTGGTTTCTCTCCAGTTTAAAAGATTACTATTTGTGAATATGTTCAACACAAACCTATCTTTTCTTTCACATTTATGAAGAAAGCAAAATCAAAGCCTAAGATGGTTAGGTGCTTATGCTATATTCATAAATTTACTAGGCAACATTCGGAACATGAATTAAAGAATATCTAAAAATTGCTTGGGATGGGAGAGGGGAATGTAAGATCAAGGAAGTCATAAAGTAGCGCTGTTAGTCCGAATATTTGCGATGCTATTTGCCGCATAATCAGTTCTGTCCAAAAGATAACAACTGTGTGTAAATATACATAGAAATATAACCTAGATACAAAACTTAAGTGTTTTTGCACTAATTTTCATTTGAATCTAAAATGATATTTTAGAATATATCTTTGAATCATATTCCAAGTCCCTTCTCGATACAGATTAATAACCTAATAAATACTACAGTTGCTTATAAACTCACATTGAAATTCTCATTGAAAGCTCTGAATCTCTCACTAAAATGTAAGCAGAATTCTGATGTAATTACAAAGACTTCACAAACTAAAGATCATCCCTGTCCTAAATTGAACCCTAGCTTGTCTTTCCCACATTCTAGATTTTATTCTTTTTCTATTGCACCTATGCATTTGTTGTATCTTACTGTATTAATTTTTGGTTTTATACTTGTCAATTCCAGGGTTGTTGTGGGGACTTAGTAATATCTTTAACTCTGCAAATACTTAGTGTGCATATGTTATATGCCGGGTATTGTGCTGGTGACTGAATAAACTGACAAGATCTTTTTCAACAATGAGGATCTTTTTCAGTGCCAACTAGTATTGATTTGATTTTCTATTTATCATTTATTTCTCAATGATGTGCCCTCCCTTCAATTTCCTGAAATGGTCTCTTATTACCTTTTTTTTTGAGAGCTCAAACAAATCTGACATCCTTTTCTTCGGTAAGAGCATGCACTCTTTCTCCTTTCTTCTGCTTACTTACTGGATACCTAGTTACTTCCCCCCATGTTATCTGAAGGTTTTGGTTTTATTTTGCAGTTTTCTCCCTAAATCCTAGTTTAATTTTTTTTTAAATTTATTTATTTATTTATTTATTTATACAAGCACTGGGTATAGTCAGAAGTGCGGGAGGGTGAGAGCAATCACCAGAGCCAGAGCGGGGAGCAGAACATGCAGAGCAACGAAGTACACTGCTGAGGGGAGCAGCAGGAGAGGTCTGTGCGCCGTGTGGGACCCTCTCCCGAGGCCAGGATTGAGCCAGCGCTACAGAGGCTGCAGGCAGCTTCACAACCCAGCGCTCAATGGCTGCACCACTGGGGAGGCCCAATCCTAGTTTAATCTTTTCCCCTAATCTACAGCTCTCAGTGGCCTCTCTGAGTTGAGTTGAATTAATGATGCCAGTTTCATCATTTCATTTCTTCTTTCTGCAATCTTGAACCTAGCACTGCGGGGCCTCTTTCACCTTAGTCATGTAAGAGTAGTGCCAACATCCTCATCTGAAAGCAGCATATAATCTCTACAGACCTCATGGCAACATCCTTGTAAAAGAGACAGAAGATTTAGCATTGGAAAGGCCCTTCAACATCATGTAGCTCCCACCTCATCCTGTCCTCTTTCCATGACAGTGACCTCACTGTATTTTGAATTCAAACTGTAGAACATCTTGCTGTTTTAATGATTTCTAAACCCATTAGACACTATGCCTAGAAATAAAAAGCATGCTGGCATCCTACCCCAGCCCAACCCCCAATTGTTAGACTTTTATTTTGTAGTGTTCCTTGGATCCAGTCACAGGGTTCAGTTTCAAAGAGAATGAGTGAAGTTTAGCCTGAATCTGTTTTCTAGAATTGCTTTAAAGCTCTCTGAAGAATCCTGAGTCTCTCTCATTTTTTCTCGTATTGTTGAAAAAAATTAAGTAGATGAGGTTATCCTGATGGAACATTCATGATTGGTGCACTTTCTCCCTACCATAAAAGGACACAGGGAGAAGGCAGAAATCCACAGCTAGGAAGAGTGGTCATACCAGAAACCCACCAGGCTAGCACCTTTATCTTGAATTTGCGAAAATAAATTTCTGTTGTTTAAGTCACCCAGTCAGTGGTATTTTCTTATGGCAGCCTGAGCTAAAGCATATTGCTTTTGTCACATTCCTCCTCTAACTTCTGGCTTCTTCCATTTTTTCTTTTACCTTCTTACCTCTGAACAGTCTCTGTGAATTTTGCATGCTATCCTTCCCAAATACAACACATACACATACATCTCCTTTGAAACTCAGCATAATCCTGAGGATGATCTTAAATCAGCTCCGATTTGTACATTTTTATTACTTCCCTGGGCTTGTAGGTATTTGAGTTTGCGGATTCTAGTGTAAATGACAAATTCTGTGATCATTGAGATATATCATTGAGTATGAGATTACCTAGGGAAAACCAAGAAGAAGATCAGATCTAAGTAACAAGCAGAATTTTGGCCCCATGAAGGAAAAAACCCTATCTGAATCATTCTGGCTCCTCAACACCTCATAGGCTGCAGAGTACTGAATGAATGATTACTTACTCTCCTCACTGCCTCCTAGCATCTCTTACTATGTACAGTACATGTTCCCAAATTCTCCAAGTACAAGGGGTGATTCCACTGTACTCTTCGCATCGCCCTCAGACTCCTGATTCTTATACAGTCTCGTTAGATTATCTTAGCTACCACTAATTGAGTTCGATTACACTTAATATCCAGATCTATGCATCACTTTCATAAACCTTGAATAAATTGGAAGTAGGAGCAGACATAAAATAGTCTTCATTACCTAAGTTATTAGGGAGGAAAGAGGCATAGAAAATATATACAATAAGTGATCACAAAGGTATTTAGGACTAGCTTTGGAATGTGTGTCACTTGGAACCCCCGTCCCCCCGCTCCCTGCAACTCTGCCTTTCCCATAGAGGCCTCTTTCAGTGTAGTTCTATTGACTGAGAACTCAATCTCTGTAAAGAGAAAGATGTTTGTAAAGAAAGGGATACCTCCTACATTGCTATGATGTCTGTAAGGGTAACATATTGACTATAGCATTAACCATAAACACTGCACTTTATATTTCTAGTTTTGGAATGTGGATTTTGAAAATATTGCTAATTCTCATTATAATTACTGTTAATTAACTGTATTTGTCCCCCAAAACCCAGTCCTCATATCTGGTTTCTAAAAATAGAGGATGGCCTCCCAGGTGGCGCAGGGGTTAGGGACAGCGCTGTCAAGCTATTGCCAGCCACTGCAGCCAATCACTGCAGCACAAGTTGAATTCCTGCCCCCACACACCCTGGCCTGGCAGCTGGGAGCAACCCACATGGTGCAACAGACCTCTCCTGCCTTGCCCGCTGCTCCTCTCAGCAGTGTATTTCAGTACACCTGCCTGTTCTGCTCCCCACTCTCTCTGGTGAATCCTCTCACCACCTGCACCTCTGGTGTTTACCCCCTGCTCCTCTGGCGTACACCCCAGTTCTTATATGAATATATAAATCTTTAAAAAAATAAAATAAAAATAGAGGAATAGTTTGACTTATAGATTTTATGAAGAAAGATCCAGGGGGGTTATACATTGCCCTTTGAAACTGAGGGATTAAGTTTATCTAATAGGTAACAGCAGAAATAACATGAACCAGTTTTAATTGACAGACTGTTGAGGTGGGTGGGGAGGCTGGGACCTTATGCACATACTGAAGAGTTTTGTGGGGTTTTTTTAAGATTTATTTATTTATTTAGACAAGTACTGGGTACAGTCAGAAGCGCGGGAGGGTGAGAAAATTCACCAGAGCGGGGAGTAGAGCAGGCAGAAGGACCGAAGTACACTGCTGAGGGGAGCAGCAGGCGGCAGGAGAGGTCTGCACGCCATGTGGGACCCTCCTCCAGTGGCTGGGAGGCAGCAGGGGATCGAACCAGCGCTGCAGAAGCTGCGGGCAGCCTCACAACCCAGCGCTCAACCTCTCTGCCACCCGGGAGGCCCCATACTGAAGAGTTCTGAAAGAACTGGGGAATGAAATTGGGAAACTCTTGCCAAACCGTAACATTGTCTGTGCCTGCAGACTGCAAGTACAATGTGCTTCTCATCTCTTGAGAAAACTTCTAAGAGGACTTCAGTA